AGTGGTACAAAGACAGGGAGGGTGGGAAGGATATATTCCAGAAGAATGTTCAAGGAGGAGTTTGGTAATGTTCTTGGGGAGCATCCTCTTTCAGATGTGGATATGGATGCTTTCTTGAAATTTCTTGCGAGGGACAAGAAAATTATAGCCTGTGATGGCGAAACCATCAAGCTGAAAGCACCAACAGACACAAAAACTCCAACCATAACTCAAGAGGACACCTCGATAGCATCATTAAAATCTCTGATTGCTGATCTTGAGATTCAAACAAAATTGTTCGCTGAAAAGGTCGACATCATGGAGCGCACAGCGAAAGAAGCTGTTGCAAAGAAAAATCGTGTGTCAGCCCTGGCAGCCCTGAGGTCGAAGAAAAGTGCGGAAACTACTCTTGCAAATCGACATGCTACTTTATCACAATTAGAAGAAGTACTTTCCAAGATCGAACAAGCAGCTGATCAAGTCGATCTTGTCCGAATCATGGAGTCCAGTACAAAGGTTTTATCAAGTCTCAACAAGGAGATTGGTGGTGTAGAGAGAGTGGATGACGTGGTTGATCAATTGAGGGAGCAAATGGGACAAGTTGACGAGGTCGGAGATATTATTGCTGAGCCTGGACAAGCGAATGTGGTGGATGAGACCGAGGTGGATGACGAACTGGAAGCTATGGAGAAGGAAGAGACGAGGAAGATTGAAGAAAAAGAACGTTTGGTCAAGGAGGAGAAAGAAAGAAAGGAGGCTGCAGATACAAAGCGCAAGTTGGATGAATTGGAGGAAGTGGAACAACAGGCGAGAGAGGCCCAGAAGGAAGAAGAAGTTGTTGTTGAGAGTACACAGGGTTTACGACGAATGTCTTTAGAACCAGAGCCAATACCAGAGCAGGCTTGATGCATTTGTATTATTTTTTATTTGTAGATTGGATCTTTTTTACGGGGGTTTCACATATACGGCGTTAATAGTTAAACCGGATATACATTTCTTCTGATGATATGAAATCAAATCTCAAGGACAAATTTTGTTTGAGAACAATGGTGTGGTAATCTCCTGTCTATCCATGACTGAGTGACCGGAAATCACAGCGACTCAACGAGGAACTCTCACACCCATGAGTTGTTTATCAAGCGAGCTCCCGGTAAGCTCCTCCCATCATGATTCGTGTGTGTTTCTCGTATTCGCTTCCACCCAGGAGATCATTCAAATTTCAAAGTTACATGTATTGCCATCTCATTTCTATCCAGGAGTCGCAGATTCCTTTTCAAGTTTTCACTTCATCCGCACCGAGTGAGCTAATGGTCCAGTCGAACGGTAATCAAAATTACAAAAACATCTCAATGCTCAGAGTTTCTCAGCCCTAACTCTCCTAACTTTCAGAACCGTTTCTGTATTCGACCAATCTACAATTCTTCGATCCTGTCACTCATTGCTTGATAACTACTCATCCTGACTTCTCGAAGACGTCGAATAGATACATGTTGACACGATCTTCAGTTTCTAGTCTTTCACATCATACAAGAAGTGCACTTTGTAAATTTTTATTCATTATTTCATTCATTAACCCATATCTACTCGCATGACTTCTACTCCCATCACTAGTACAGTCTCGCTCTGCGCAATAAATCTTGTTACTCAGTACTTGAACTGTTGCATTAAAGAAATCAAATGGCAGTTCAGATCTATAGTCTACTCAAATAGAGGCGGTTTTGAATGGCACTGAACACACCACTTAGGTATTTCGCAGGGAACAGCACCACATTCAACACTCTCAGGCAAGAAGATAGTTTGAAAATGTGACGCTGATCTCCAGATAACTTACTTTTTGTACGTAGGATAGTCCCCTCTTCTAATACTTGCAAGTGTCATTCCCAGTAAGTTAAAATATCAAAGACAACGCATAATTAGCAAACCTTTCAGATGAGGGAGTGTAATTATATTATTCAATAGGCCATTCCTTAATGTCTCCAAGCCAAGTACGCTCTCTCGAGCATCCCTCAAAAAATCTATGGCAGCCTCTCACTTACTTATTTGCCTCTTGCTGTTTCACCCACCTACCCGTCTCCCCGTCTCCCCGTCTCCCCCCTCCTGAGAACATACCAAAAATCCAAACCAGCAAAAGAGGTTCCACTACTCTTGTAGTGTACATCCTCTCGCCCACACTCAAGTATCTTGAGGGTCCACAGAAGCACGTCTGCTCCGAGACCGATATCGACACAGTTTTTCTTACTACGGATAAAGGGCTAGGGGAGGTCATTGTTTGCCATCACCCTTATAATTATGGATTCAAACCATTTTAATATTTAACCTCATGTTGACTACTCTAGTCTAATCAGGGTATATTTTTAATTCATGGGATTAAACCACGTGTTGGACTCTAGAAATCTGCAGAATTTCGAGTCAATCATAGGACTTCCTATAAAGTGGATCCGTGGGTTTGAACCAGGTATCCGCGGAGATCAAATCCGAAGTATCCCAAATACCATTAAGTCATGATGGTAATTGGTGATGAAGGGGACGGTTTTTAAAAAAATAAAGGTAAAGGGTTTTAGTTGGGAGGAAGGGGTGAACGTAGACGGTGGGAATTGGGGAAGGAGCGTGACTGGAGCTAGGACAAAACGCTACTTATTGTCACGGTCGGGTGATACCACCATATCAAAATAAGAAGGAGTGAGAAATTATTTGTTTGTAATTATGAAAACATAAACAATGATAGAAAGAACATCATAACAGATAATTGAATCTCTTCAGCCTTCTGAAGTAGTTTATCACTTCCTCATCGTTCTCGACATCACGGATCATCTCCTGCGCCATATTAAGCAATGATTATCAACGAACACTCACCAAGCAATCATTCTGCTATGTTCTAGGTATTCTGGTATACCACACAAAATTAGTCCAGAATGTATTTAATAGTTAACCTTAGTTTTGGAAATGGTCGAGATAGAAAGCGAGCTTTACTAGCGGTAATTTACTAGCGGTAATCAATGCCCATTATTGACTGATCTCTTATTCCTACTTAGTGCCTAGGCATACTCGAACTTAGGAGATGGGAGATGTTAAGGAGAGAAGTGATACGCCTAGCGCAATCTAGTATTGATTGATCTGTACACATGAACTCGATATGGATTATTTCTTGATTGTCTAGGAGGGATAGAATATGAATCGCTTGTATAAATTCAAGGTGATGGAATAATTGTAAACCTCATATGGCTATGAAACTGCTAGACCGTGAAGGCCCATCAGGGATAATTTATATGAAAATAAGGAAGAGAATTGAAAGGATTGAAGGTTGAGAAAGGGTATCTTATATATTAGTTTCATCTATTGTGGCTGCAACGGCTCATCTTTGTTCATATTTGCTCCTGCTCCTGCTCCTGCAAATGCATCTTGTCGCTCTTGTACATGCGTTATTGGCATGCTTTTATCGTATTGTGATGATGGTGGAGCAGCCATCACGTACTCTGGTAGTCCTGCACTCTCTGAGAAGAACCGCCCATTAGGTGGTGGACTGTTGGCTTCTGATGCCCCAGGCAGTGGTGGTATTGGGTTATTTTCAGATGTCCGCTCGCGTGGAACCCCTGGTAGCAAATCTTCCCGCCCCTTTCCAACTTCCCCGCTGAGTGCAATACCTGATGAATCTTGACTAGATGCCTGTAGCACTGTCGCAGATGCTAAAGAATCCGCTTCTAACTCTTTAGAAGGCTTGTTTTTCGCGATCCTTTGACGAGCCTGAGCTATTAAGTCTTTAAAGCCATTTTTATGTTCTTCTCCCCATGCTTGCCCATCAAAATCCTTATCCTTGATGTGAGCGGATAATGCGCTTGGTTGTGGCGCTCTCGATCCCAGCGTCCTTTCCCAAGAATCGAGATCTCTTTTTAATTGCGCCGTACTCCTTGGATTTTTCGCATCACAGTTGGCATTCCATATGGTTGTGTACTCTGTTAACCTTTTCCGCATCATTTCTTTCCCTCCAGCAGCAGATATTCCTAAATCTATAAGCTTTTTCTTCAAGGCTTGGTCTTTGATTAAACTGAAATTGACGACGGGTAATCGATCCGGCCGTCTGACTGGCTGAGATAAAGGAATTGAAGGTTTCGATAAAATGCTCGCAGATTGAGGAGTGGTCTCGGATTCCGCAAGGCACCTCCCAATGTGAGCTTCAACACTTTTTGCTGTCATCCGTCGATTGCATACCGGACATGCAGTAAGACCATCATCTGTGGGAACATGTTAGCCATTGCCCGTCAAATTATTGAATAGCTATATGCTCAATCACCAGGTTCAAAATCTGCATCATTATTCCCTTCGTCAATAACTATCACTGCTTCCTGCGCTGTCTCCGAGCTCTCGAGTCGTCTTGTTGCCTGGCGAGTCGAAGCCCTCGTTTTTTTATTGGCTTGCTCATCCCTTCCATCAAGATCTGATCTTCCACGCTTCCTCTTGGGAGATGTAACAATAGATTCCACCACAGGTTTCCTCGCAAGTTCCAGTGCCTCCGGTCTAGCCCTTTTAAAAGCTTCCACTAAATCCTCGATAGCAGCATTCGATTTCAGCTTGACTTCTTGGTCGTTCGATCTACATGCTGGGCATTTCGAGTCATTGTTGAGGCACCTTCGTATACAAAGTGAACAAAAGGTGTGCGAACAAGAAGTGATCATTGGCGTAGTAAAGAAGTCCTTACAGACTTGACATCGTAATAATGAGTCGACATCTGCGAGTTTAGAAAGTGGCGTCCCCAACCAATCCGTTGAATCTGCTATATCAAAAGAATCATCCTTTGGTCCTCTAATATTCATAGCTTCTTCGATAAAAGTCCTGGTCGATTTTTGGGGGGTGTTTGCCTTGCTTGCCGCATTCTTTCTTCTTGACGGAGGTGACATCCTGGAAATTTCGCGTAAAGTGGTTGACAGACGCGTCGCGACTCCCAGTTTATCAGTTGCCGTAACCTCGAAAATAAATCAGATAACAGCTCCAGCAACCTTTTGAGAGAACCACAAAAGTTGAACAAAATGGCGGATTTTAAAAGTTATCTTGCAGCGAGTATTTTGACAGAGGACAAAGTGGTAAGCAATTGTTTGTGGAGTTAAATTATTTTAACTGAAAGTTCTTAGGTCACTTATAAACTGCTTAGTCGGGTGCTCAAGGCCCATGTAAATACAGCAAAGGAGTAAGTCGTTCTCGAGCTTTGTAGTGTGCCTTCTGCTAACATTTTGGCAGAATGCTGTTTGAGTTTCATCGAGTACAGAATGCAAAGAAACCAGGGACAATTCATGCAACTTATCTCATTGGTGGAACAAAGAGAAAAGAAGCACCTATTGAGGTTGAGGCGCAAAAGGATGGCGAAGATGATTATATGCAGAGCAGTCCATTTGTCGGAAGCTCAATGCCACAGCTCGAAGGGAGTACTGGTGAAGGCTCTACATTTAGTATAACATTGACTCGAGAGGAGGATTTGGAAAGTTGGAACCCCGCCTTTGGCAAGCCATGCTTCGTAGCTAACAACCTACAGCAACACGGTCTCAATTTGAGCACATTTCCTCAATACATATATATAGTTTGGGGCCTCACCATTGAAGGTAGAACACATTTTAAGTCCAAACTCTCCAAGTACTAACAACTTGTAGGAGCTCCAATTGCTCTCAGATTCGACCCGAGAAGTCCAAACACTCGCCAAATCCGAAGACCCCCTCGAATCCTACCATAAATATGGAATAATTACCAACCCAAATGCTAAACGCCGTATCCGCAAAGCACCACCCATTGCAACTGCCACACAAGCATCTGTTCCAACCAGACCTGCGACTGCGAAATCCAAGCTTATTGAAGTCCAAGAGTCTGCTAAATCATCTTCTTCCTCCAAAAAGCCCGAATCCAAATCACAGCCATCCAATGCCAAAGATTTCTTTGGCAGCAGTGGAAAAGAAAAGACCAAGCCAAAGCCACAGGCAGAGTCTACAAGAGCCGAATCCACCACTGCGCCTTCAAGTAAAGAATCAACACCTGCTCCTCCTGCAAATCTCAAGCGCGAATCAAGTAGCATTTTCAAGGCGTTTGCGAAAACTCAGTCTAAGAAAGCAAAAATTGAGGAAACGGAATCTAGTGCGAAGGACGATTCAGCGATGAAAGATGTCTCGGACGATGACGAAGAAGATACATGGATGCCAGCGCCTGTCACTCAAGAAACCAAGGCTCAAGATCGAAGTTCCAGGAAAGCAACACAGGAGAGATTAAGGAAAATGATGGAAGATGATGAAGAAGAAGAAGAAGAAGAAGAAGAAGAAGAAAAGGCAGCACCCTCCCCAGCTCCTGAAACACCCGCCGAGGAGTTAGAAGAGGAAAAAGCACCTGAGGAAACCAAGGAAGAAGAACCTGTCGCAACTACAAGTAGTGGACGAAGAAGAGGTAGAAGAAGAGTCATGAAGAAGAGAACTGTGAAGGACGAAGATGGCTATTTAGGTAGGTTACTCGCAAGTTTTGTTATCCTTTTCCATGCGTAATGTACTAACCGAGATATCAGTAACGAAACAAGAAGCAGCCTGGGAATCATTTTCGGAAGACGAGCCTGCTCCAGCACCTAAAGCTAAAGCAGCGCCTGTTTCCACTCAACCCAAGAAGGATGCACCAAAGAAGGGACAGGGGAATATTATGGCGTTTTTTGGGAAGAAATAGTGTTTTTAGCGGAACTTCAGGGAGTGATTGTTGACGACATTTCATTGCGAGCTGAATTGAGCATCATAGAGGTTATGTGATAGCGGATAGCTTTGATCGATCCAAATATATTGGTAGCAAAAGAATATAATAAAACTAAATCACTGTCTTCGGATGCCAGACATGCAAAATGGCAAAAATTGAATTCAGATCTAACTTTTCTTTGCAGAACATCTAATACATACAATCTGCCTTGCTTCACCAACAAGTATGATCGAGCTAATCCGACAAGTCGCACAGAAAACTCCCTCCATAAACATAACTCCAATCATAGCATGGCCATTGCTTCCACACTTTTATGCAAATAAAAACCTCTTCTTGAGGATTAAAGACGTCAAGTCTCGAGGTCATAAGGATCAGCGCCCTCCCCGAACAAAAGATGTGGTTTCCGTTTTGCAAGATCAAGAATTGTTTGTGCAAAGACTGAGTTAGCCCCTTTGCAAATATTAGTATCTGGATTAATCATATGCAATGGGTCCTATAAGACACGTGAAGACGGAAAGGGGGAGAGAAAACGAAGACATACATGCAAACCAACTCCTCGTATACTCCTGTATACGGTTGACATTAATACTCTCATGAATCAATCCCAATCTACTCGCTTTCAAAACTAGGTTCAAACACTCCATGATCTCATCATCATCATTACTAGTCATGGCTTGCAACAGTAGAGACATAGGCCATGCATTTTCGGGGCCAATGTGTGGACCTCCGATACCTTTGAATGCTTTCCCTTCGAGATAGTATGGATTTCCTTCTTTAGACAAAATCATTTTTCTGGTATTTTTATAGATTTGGTCGTCATTGCTGCAAAACCCGAGAATTGGCAGTGCGAGGAGACTAGGCACATTGGCATCGTCCATGAGGATCTGTCCACCATAGCCATCTACTTCATATGCAAATACTTTACCCCATTTCTTGTGTTGTACGACAGCGTGCTTCATAATACCATCTTTGATACTTTGTGAGCGCTTCTCGAGAGTTTGGGCTAGATCGGAACGTTTGGCTACTTTGAGAATCTCGGCGGTGCGTTTCAATTCGACGGACATCTGCGCATTCGCTGGGATGAAGAAACCTAGAATCGTTGTATCGTCCGAAGGGCGGAAAGCGCTCCTTATCAAGCCCGTACCGTAATTTAATGGATTTCCAACACCAGATAATGGTAAAGTTTCGGTTCCCTGGTCGGTTCGACGGCTGAATGTGTAGGAATTACGTTGGAAACGGCCAGTCTTTGAATCGAAGCTTGATTCGGATTGTTGCTCGATGACCATGAGAAGGGTATCTAGTGCGGTCAACCACCGTGAATTGATAAAGTCAGTAGATTTAGTGTGGTTGTAGAAGGCGTTTCCTAGAGCCAGGAAGTTGGCAAGGGAATCTAGCTCATATTTACATTCAAAGACGAAAGATGGTTCGTATGCGGGGTGGACATTGTCATCTTGTCCGTTTTGCGATGCAGCAAGCTTCGAGGGCGGGGGAGGTTGAAATGCGTTGCAATATGGCGACTGTATAACATACTCTGCTTGTGTATTGATAGCTCCCAAAATCAGATTGAAAATAGCTGGATCTTTGTTTGACAAAGGCTGATACTGTAGCAGTTGGTTTGTAGAGTCTCTGAGCCACTCCGCATTGATGTCTCCCGTAACCACGAATGACTGCGCTCCCTGCCATTTCTGATTGCTCTGGGCACTTCTCGCCTTCAATTCCGTATGCTTTGTGGTTCCGTCGACGTGCCATCTTACAGTTGTATCGAGAGTATTGGGGAAAGCGTTTTCGAACAGTCTCGCGAGGTCCTTGTTAACCATCTTAAGTGACATATCATCGATGACCTTCTCCACCAAAGCCGAGGAGAATGTTCGACATTCCTCAGCAGGTCGTTGAAAAGGCAATTCCATAGGTCCATCAGATACTGGCCCATGCCTGAAAGTCGAATATTTCTTATAATCTGGACATGCTTTCGCATACTTATGAGGATCGTTTATTGGTTCTTGTGGTCGATATGGCGATTGAGCTATTGCGCCCAAAGCTCCGAGCCACAGGAGCCATGTTTGAAGGGGAAAATGGCCCATTGTAGTTGATTGAAGATATACGATAGGTAACGAAGCTTTGTCGAGCTTTTTCGAGAAGAATAAATCTTATTTCGACATCTGAATAAACGTGGATAGCTATTTGCTTTCTGAAATGAGAGCTGTTGCAATGAATTCGATGGTCCAAGCAATGATTGGCGTTTCGTGATGGAATATGTGCTCGTCTTTCTTCTGTTTAGATCAATTCAGCCTTTCATGAAGCATGAGTGAAGGATTTTCTTTCTGGAATCTCAATATTAGAACAATGCCAATTGAGATTCGATATCATAAATTATGAGTTGATAGAGGCTTGCGTCTGCAGAATGAATACTAGGTAAGTCGGGGAAATGGCAAGCCCACCAGCCGAATCTCTTGGCGGTGGGGTGCATCCGCGATCTCACATTAGAGCTAGGCTCCTAGGTAAACCGGTAGCTCTCTCAAGATAGACGAGCGAGACGAGATAGTTATTTCTAGAATCCGCTTAATTTATACACCTGTATCGTGGATCATTCAACACCCTTTTCAGGTTTTCATTAGATTTGCATATAGCATTATAGTTTGAAGATTACTCAGAAGTGGTGTAATTGGCCCCAAAAGTTTTAATCATATCATGTAATTATCACCGACGAGAATGGTATTACTATGAGCTTAAAAACAAAAAAGCAATAATATCTGTTTCGTCTCTACGTCTCAATTTCTCCTCCTTAGATACCTAAGTCATCTTTTCCCAAGCTGTAGCTGCAATTGGTTTATTTTTCTCAGCGCCTCCTCCTTCACTTGCTCCAATTCTATCTCTCGATCTCGCAAAGTCATGTAAATATCCGACTCCCCAGAAGATGTCTGCTCTTCAGGTGAGTGAGACCTGGTTCTTCCCTCGCCCAGGTTCAGGATTGTTTGCAGCTGCTTGTCATATGTGTATACTTGCGTGATGCGCTCATTTGCATCAATGACAACATGTCGAATATGCGATTGCGTACCAATATCTAAAAAGCAGGATCTAGGTTAGATGATACTTGGCTCTAAACTAGAGATTTCCCTCACCTTTGATTTTAAGTGCATCAAGAGAAGACTTCGAACAAAAGTTAAGAATAATGTAATCTTCGACAATACCCCATTTGTGATACTTCTCTCCAGCTTTAAATCTATCTACATGTTCTTCTAGTCTTCCATTGTTGCCAGATTGAAGTATCTCAATACCCCCTTTTTTGCCAAAGATAAAGAAATCGATTCGTCCATCCTTTGTTTCAACATATTCTGACAAAATCGGTATATTGTGAAGCTCCTGGCTAAGGCAAAAATACATCTCATCCTGCAGTGCTGCCTCTGGAATACCCCAATTAGTATTGGACTGGCGACTAGTATTTGACGAGGGAGAGCGATGATGCAGAATAGATGGGCTAAATCTTTCAATGGCGTTCAGACAAGCTTGCTGAAGGGCGGTTGTATCTGAACTGGTTCCTGCTGGCGGACCTGGAATGAGACGTCGATATGCGATTCTGTCTGGTGTTAGTATAAACAAAGGACAGGGTGAATGCACATACCTTCTATGTATTGGAGAAGCAAAAATATAGGTGACTTCGCTACTTCCATGCTTAAGATACTCTGCGTGTAGGAATCCCATTTTATAAAAAAATGCTAATGCATCCGTTTCATTCATTCCTGACTCTGTGTAGCCATTGGGTAGTCTCGCTACTTTACGCAATGCATCTGTAACATCCGAATATTTGAGATGGCTGCAAGATGGAGAACGTGTCAAATAGTTTTTCAGGTGTTTCTCTCCTACGACTGTCCAAACGCCTCTGCCCCATTGAGTAAGAAATTCCAGTAGGAAATCATGCTCGACAAGGATCTCATGACAGAAGTCTGGCGACCATCTTCGATGTTTTTGGATATTCTTATTGAGCGAGAAACGGTTAGCATATTCTTCAATAAACAACTTCTTCGGTGTAGCCGAGTAGAGATTACCTGTGAAATCAACATTTCAAAACAACCCAAAATTAATCCAACCATTCCCGGATGACCGTCAGTAGCAGAGTGAAGATACTCGGCTACAGCTACTCGATCAACGCTATCAGGATCAAGACGATTCTCCAGGATCCATTTACTAACTGCGGTCAATGTCTCATGTGATTTGAAGAGCATACATGAAGAACTGGATTTTGATGGTCGTAATTCAATACGATTGAGATCGTCCACTTTCCACTTTCGAAGCTTGCGATTCAATGAACGGTTCTTGAATCTCAGAAATGCCAGCAGCCCCATAAAGACAAACAAGCACAAATATTCGACTTGATCTAGTGTAGCGGCTTCTGAGCTCAGAAACCCAAAATTGTTCATCTTCATAAGAGCCTTGAGCTTCGTCAATGAGATAAATAAGTCTGGCGTTAGGGTTGTGTGTACGATATCTGGCATTGTCTTTTCGCGCCCAGGTTACCTGTTCGTCTAAATATTCTTGGTATGGAACATTATTGCGTCTATTTTTGGGCAGCCAATGAACGAACACAGGCTCAAGCTCTGGATTGTGAAGAATAATATGATATCCAATCAACCGAAGAAGAGTTGTCTTTACCACTAGAGGTGTAGCACGAATAACCGCCATTCCCGTGTTTAGTGCAAGTTGCAGAACTGAAGAAACTAGATCTGGTCTTTCGCAAACATAATTGCAGCGTGTATTCCATGAACTGAAATCAGGAAGTGCATGGTCGTTCATCTCGTGTCCACAGTTGACACAGATAGGAACTAAAAGCTCGAAGACTCCTTGAGGGTAATCACAATCACAGATACGACAAGGCCAGTGAGTGATAGTGGTAGAAGGGAGATCTGACAAATCAATGTTTGTGTGTCCTCTGGCAGGCTTCTGTTGTTTAGAATCTTGATTTGGGTGGGTTTTTTTCTTTGCTTGTCGTCTGATGTGGTGCTTGGAATGTTTCTGGCGACGCTTTGGTTTAACGACAACTTTTTGTAAAGTGGCCTTTGAGGAGGAAACTTTGAGAAGATGCAACTCTACATGCTTTGAAATAGATGAGAGAAGTCTTTTGGACATAGTTCTGGTAGTTGCAGGCATTTTCTATGATAGGTAAGTAAAAGCAGACTTGTGAAGAGGAAAGAAAGTTCTTGTTTTTGAGTTGTGAATAGATCAAACATCCCTTCTTTGTTGTAAAGAAAGTGGAGATAGCATGTTGTTGTTTTTGTTGTTGTATGATCCATTTCTGCGAAGAAAGGAATTACAATCGACAGCACCCAACTCCTTCAGACTTCCTTAAGCATTTTGATAAGACCTTATCGAAGCTGTCAGGGGGACAACCTGGAAAATGCCTAACCTCTAGCTTTACATACATAAGAGATGCTTTGTCATGAATTATCTTTGACTAATCGTTATCGCATGGGCCCGTCAGCCGGGAATCAATAAGAAAAGTGTGTTTTTATTAATTGAACGATCTAGCTTTGGAACTTTAGACAAAATGGTGAGCTGAACCTCGTGTTGTGGGCAAACGTCAGGTGTACGGGTCATGTAATAGGAAAGAAGCTGGGAAGTTTGGCTTACAACTAATGATTTTCTCGCTCTCTGGAGATTTAGGGTTATTTCGACTTTTCCTAGAAGAAACATGGCATGAAGCTAACTCTTAGAAGGAGGAGGCTATTTTGGAGACTTGGCATTCGATTTCACAGAGAATCATCAAGATGTCAGCCCAATTTCTGTATCAGTGATATGCAAAAAAAAGAAAGAGAAGGCAATCATTATCCAGTTTCGATTCTTGGTTATAATTGATCGTTAGCTGGATATACCGTCCGTACGAATCTAGAAATATTTCCAACATTTGACACTACTAATACCAGAGGATCAAAGACCATAGTCACATCGTGATCGTGAAGAATCTCTGCAGGCATATGAGTAGCGTATGCTAATTGAAATGAGAATCTAGAATAAGATAACGAACAATGAGCTGGTATAAAAAAGAAACTGACATGAAGGTGCTCAACATATGCTTCTTTGTCCATGAACAGGAAAGGATTGAATACATATTACTTTGATGAGCAATTGAGGTCAGGCCTTGAACGTTGCAACATCCAACCAGCTCTGGATAATTAGTCCTTGTCAAATGAATAGGACTAGCTGTATATTGGCACATAGAGTAACAATGAGTTAGAGGGCTTTCGAACTTACATTGGTGCTTGATGCTTACCTAGGTAGATTACATGTGTCTAAACTGCTTAGCGAGTAATATCCATGCAGTGGAACTGCATTACAGCTGCATCATCAGTACAATTAGTACACTCAATTTAATAATGTATTTTCAAAACCTTAAATTTCAGTATTTCATCAAAATCACCTAAATATTAGATTTTCCGATTTCAATCTATAATACCTTTATCAATTGTAATCCAATTCAATTAAAAACTTGATCAAATAATAAAAAATAATGAATTATATTGTTGATATGATTTTTGATTATTTTAAATCGTTATTAATCGAATTGGAAATTTTGAAACGAAATTTCAAAAACAGTTTGAAAATATGTTAATTTTCAATCTCAAAATCGAATTTTATATTCTAACCATCTTCAACTTTACAAACATCCCTTTAATATATTTATAAAACTATATATCAATTCTTTTAATTAAAATATTAATTATTCTAGAGAGTTTATTCAATTTCAAAATATATTAATAAATATAGAAATAGTTGAAATTGAATTTTTTTATTTTGATAAAATTGATGAGGTACAAAAATTCGCTTCTTTTTTTGGAAACGAGTTATTAAATCGGGTGTAAGCTTCTTTTAATACGCAAATACCGAGCGAGGTAATTATAGCCGATCGTAATACGATGCTGTGCTATGAACAGTACCTCAACTGAGTCATGGAGCATGCGGTAAGGCAATCTATGCACGCCATCTTCTCTGGGAATTGGGATATTTCGATGCCACTGGCAAAGCTTAGAGGACATACCCGATCGCGATTGCTCTTGAACAGTATGATTGCTTCTGTGGTATTGCAAGTTTTGATTGCGAACTAACATATACCAATGCTACTGCATCGTAGATCCGTTTAATCCAAGGCTTTCGAGTATTCTTCCTAGAGGATATCTTCAACAACTTTGAAAACTAAGCTATGCAATGTAGCCCGATATACACTATTCCTACCCCAGGTCAAGCAACATTCGGACCTTCCTCCGATGAACCTCTCACATATACTAAATTTCAGATCAATATCATCTGCAGCTTTCTAAGCCGGATGAATATATTCTTGCATACCGGAACACTTTTCCTGATGATGGACACGCGTAAACACGATGGTAATCATGGTATGATATGCAATACCTTCCCAAGGTACTGCTTTCCCGACCATTGCGGAATTTTAGTGTCATTCCTTGAAAAGAAACTTTTGAATGTCACTGCTTGCTTGCATGTCTCCAGCAACCTTCAGAATCCTATTGGACCAGTAAGTACTAAGCGTCTCGCGTCTCTTCTGGTGTTGTACCCATTGCCATGCAGCCCAGATTGAAATTCAAAACTAACAGCCCAATGAAGCTTTCATCAATCAAATCCCCAGAATTTCGGAAATAAAGAACCGTTGCCATTGAAAACTGTAACGCATTCTTGGTCTAGTGGCTCCTCTTTCACGTGAGTGACCAGACCTTTACAACGCCTACAATGATGCTCGATATTGAGACTAGTTAATGACCTGTATGTAGCATTTCAGGTCAAAACACGACATTGAATTTCAAATGCCACAGCTTCAATTTTCTACAGATTTTAAACTTCCTGACCTGCTGGTATCATTTGGTAACAAACTCTTCGGGTTGTTGAAAGGAATTCGAAGAATAGACATTTGGGGGGGCGAGGCGCGATCCCTTTACAGAGATTCTACATTGCAGATCGTTTATTCTGGATTGTTGTTTGAGTCTCTACAAGATAGATACCAGTAAAGGGCTGCACTAGATGAAGGGCGGCGTGAGTGGCTAGCTGGCGAGAAACCAGTGTGATGTACCAGTCTGAAAGGAATCATCGTGCGACAGATGTTTCAACATGGTTGCTCGAGTCATGTAAATCTCATCGTCCGCCCATAAGATTACCAGCCGGAGTGCAGCTGTGAAAGGGGGAGATATGGGACAAGTTTGTGGCTGCTTCAGCTCGTGCTTAGATAAAAGAATATCTCCATTTTGGGGAAGAAACGCGACTGTATATGTAAAAACCAGCACCAGGCCAGTTCAGCTGGCGGTCCATAGAAGCAAATGATTTGTCAGTATGTCCGATCTAACCGATCGTGATTAGTCATCAAAACTTCTTTTTCCAGTAATACGGACGCACTTAATATGTTGTGCTCCACTCGGAAACCCTTGAGGCATGTTTCCTAGAAGGTTATCCGCATGTGGGTGAGTCTGTTAAGTGCAATTTTAAGCGGTTATCGAATCCCTATCAAGCCTCTCCGATAGTACATGCATGAACGGAGTCCATTTCGAGATGCAAGCAAAGTTGATGTCAAAACATCACGAACAATCTCGATCCTGAAATCTCTACAAACTGAAGTTATTAGACCTCAAAGAGTAGAGGCATGAATGATCTCTGACATTGAGCTTGGTGGTCTGCTTCGACCATGGTGATCCTCAACGGCAAAGGTAATGGGAATGTCAAGCCTACTATTCAAGACATTCAAGACATTGCAGAAATTCGAGATCTTCTTGAAGATATTCACATCGCAGATACGAGTCAAAGTTCCATACCAGATTCCACGAAAACGCATTCTTCGAACAAAACAGCCGCCGCCGCCGAAGCCTCATATTCATCCACGATCCCTTCTACAATTCCAAAGCCAGCAGACTGGACCTCAGATCTACCTAACTCTGAGCATGTGCGCTTTTTTAAAAATACAAATTGGGCTGCAACACACCTCGGACCATTAGAATCATGGGGCCTTGCCCTTCGACTTCACACTTTCACAACTTTTGCGGATTCAAGACCTGCTTGTTTATATTGGTATGATGGAAAGATAAAATCTCACTACTCGAATCTGAATAATCTGACAGCATCGTGTTAGGGGACCTGAGAGAGTTGCAATTTACAATGAAAACTTCATCCAAATGTCTGGTAACACACATCCAGCATTAATGGGCAAACCATTTGAGTTGGCTTTCCCAGAAATTTGGAATGACATAAAGGGGGTTTTCATTCATGCAGAGACGAGCAAGCTTGCAGCAGACGTTAATGAGATACCATTGATGGTGGAGAGAAGCGGGTTCAAAGAGGAGACATATTTCACGGGAAGCTTTAATCCAGTCCGAAGGGAGGATGGAGCAGTTGCAGGCTTTTACAATTCTGTAGGTTCGTATTTGTTTCGCAGATTTTGCAACCTTCAAATCTATTTCCGTCCCCAAAATCTACATCCCACTTTTCCTATTCCCCATTCATGCGATGAATGGAGTAAATCATCGCAATATCGAAATGAATTCTTGACTATCTGATTTTGAGACAATACAACTTTCCAATCTGATTGGATAGTAGAATGTTGTACTGAAGCTCAAGATACTATTTGATTGTCGAACTTCAACATAGATATTGAAGAGATAGTTCTGAAGTATTATTGAATTTGGTATGCGATTTGTTTCATTAATCTTTGCTTTCTGTTTCCAAGTCTAATTTTATTCGTTATTATCCTCTCAGATATTCTTTTGGCTAGCAATTACTGAAACGTGGATGCAGTTGAAGTTACTGCCCAAAGGCTCAACGAGAGAAGACAGTCAATGTTGGGATCATTGGAGATCCCAATTGGGTTGCAACAAGGGACACTTGCTAGCCATGTTATGCCTCATTTAGAGTCGAATCCACTTGATATTCCCATGGCAATGTTATATCAGATGGACGAGCAAAGCTCTTCTGGGTCCACGGTTTATTTGCGGGGTCAACTGGGCTTCCCTGAGAACCACCCACTCGCTGTGCCGGAAGCTAAACTCAGCAGTTGTCTTGCCCTATTTCCATTGTTGCATAAGACAAGCAATAAGATTTCGACTTATTCTGTTGATGAGAGATTTGAGGGAGTCGAATGGCGTGGCCACAAAGATGATTTTAACAAAGCTCATGAACCATCGACGCATTTTAGCATACTTCCAATCTCAAGTGCTGATCGTATCTTTGGCTATCTTATACTTGGCGCCAATTCTCGCCGACCAATTGACGATACTTACGATCAATTCATAAATGCTATTGCCTCGAGAGTCTCATCAATTGCATCTGCCTTGGCTAGCGCCGAGGAAACAAAGCGGAGGGCTGATCGACTAGAAAAAGAACTAGCTGAAAGTGAGAGACAAATCAGATACATGGCACAGAACGCTCCGGTTGGTATGCTGCAACTATCGACTGAAGGTAAGATCCTCTGGGCCAATGATATGTACTACCGAATTACTGGCCATCCGGGACCTGAGGAACCGCAGTACAACTATTCCTTTCTTGACGTCTTAATTGAAGAAGACAGGTCTCAAACCTTACAAGCTTGGGTAAAGCTCCATGATGGATCCTCTCACATTGAGACTACATCACGGCTCAAGCGTATGTTCGTGCCACCCAGTGGGGAAGCCGAGCACGCTTGTGTGCTATCATTGGCATTCCCATATATTGTTAATGGTGAAGTTAAATCCATCATGGCTTGCTTCACCGACATCTCAGAGTTAAAATGGGCCGAAGCAGCGGAAGCCAGAAATGCCGAGGAAGCACGCGCGGCCAAACGTCAATAAGAGGAGTTCATTGATGTTGTTTCTCACGAGATGAGAAATCCTCTTTCTGCCATCTTCCAATGTGCCGATATGATATCAAATTCGTACAAAGATTTATCGCATACAAATACTCTTGAAATCTTGAAAAGCAATGTCGAGGCCGCTCATACGATAGCTATGTGTGCCAGTCATCAAAAGCGTATTGTGGATGATGTCTTGACACTCTCGAAGCTCAAGTATATGATGTTGTCCATTTCGCCGCATTCTGCTAATCCAGCAAAGATTCTGGAACAGGTCGTCAGAATGTTTGAAGCGGATTTAACGTCCCACGATATCTCAATCAAAACAATAGCTCAACCATCCTTCGGCGCCAACAATATCGACTTAGTCATGTTTGACTCTTCACGTGTGAACCAAATATTGATTAACTTACTAACAAACGCGATTAAGTTTACAAGAGGTGAACCAAAGAGAAAGATCACAGTTACTTATGGTGCTACTCTTGTTAATCCAGAGAAGAATTTCAGCAAGGAGCTTTACTGGGTACCATGCGGGGACGAGGTTGAAGATTTGACGCTCAATCCTGAGTGGGGCTCCGGTGAACCTGTGTTTTTAACATGCGCAGTCACAGATACAGGAGTTGGCATGCGTGCTGAGGAGATCCCTCGTCTCTTCACTCGCTTCGAGCAGGCCAATTCGAAAACCTCTATAAAATATGGTGGATCTGGTTTGGGATTGTTCATTTCTCAGAAGCTTGCCGAAAAGCAAGGAGGTAGGATTGGTCTATCTTCCAAGTTAGGCCAGGGAAGTACGTTCGGATTTTACGTCAAGGTACGACGTAGTGTTAAACCACGAAAAGATATCCGTCCAAAATTAACACCAGTATCATTCGATGGATCTTACTATGACGGATCGAAGCCTATGTACGTTTTGTTAGTCGAAGACAATTTGGTCAATCAGATGATATTAGAGAAGCAATTGAAAAAAGCTGGCTGCATAGTCTACGTGGCTAACCATGGGCTAGAGGCTTTAGAGATATTGAGACAATGTTCCTGCTGGCATGAGCCGGTAAAAGACGCGAAGAAGTTAGATATCATACTGATGGATTGGGAAATGCCTGTCATGGATGGTCTCACTTGCAGTCGGGAGATCCGAGCATTGCAACAATCTGGAAAGATCGTGAGGCATCTTGAGATCATCGCAATTACTGCTAATGCCCGAGAGGAGCAGGTTCAAGTGGCATTACATAACGGAATTGTAAGTGTCCAAAAGATTGGTTTGAAGTGAATCATCATGCTAACAGTTGTTGCTGTAGAATTTCGTAATGTCCAAGCCTTTCATAGTCTCGAAGTTATTATCCAAGATGAGAGAGAGGCTTAGCGGGATCGACAATGGAACAAGTTTTCAGTGAATGAATATGATCCTGCCCATGATTGCAGTAGGAGTGCTTATGAGGAGCGATTGGTATATCCCTTCTTGTTTTCTGAATGGCTTTGCGCTATTCTCTAATCGCCCAAGCCCCTCTGAATAGACAACGGAAGTCGCGGATATCGAGGGAAATAACTGTGAGCATATATGCCCAGCTGCCCTGTTGATGAAGAATACTGTGAATGATACCAGTATGTTTGAGATAATTGGAACAACGACGGATATGAAAGAACTCAATGCCAAACCAAGATTACGTGTATTAATGTTCTCGTCATCATGTGAAACTTATGGGCATTTGTTTTGGATGCAATACCCCAAGAATGACCCCCAAAATGTTGAAACCTGTCAGGAACACAGGTAGTGATAAGAGAGCAGCTAGGCTTAGTTGCAAGAACGAAAAGGGCTATCTAAGTCTTTTCTTTCTTGGTATTTTTGTAATCCATTGGATAGCATTAGCAAACAATAGGATAAATTAAAATTACATCAAAGTTCGAGCAAACCCCATACAATTTAACCTTACGCCATATCAAGACTTTCAGATCCCCCCCCCTTCCCAAAAAGGTAACAAGATACATAGAAAGTATCATCAAAGGTGGCCCGGTAAACACATTGTCCACAGCATTTCGGTGTGGAATCTTTACCATTCAAGGATCCAGAAAGCCAATCATTCCACTTTACGCGCCAATAGCAAATTCTGGGACAGTCATTGAAAACGTTTCGATTTCAAGTCAGGTTATACAAATGAGTCAACTAGTTTCTCGCATTTAAAGGCATGCTGTCAGATCTTCCACACACACCCAACTATTCGGCAACAACGTCGACATCGAGAAAACACCCCCCGTCAAGTACTTCGTTGTTCGACTCTACAGATTGCAAATATCCGTCGGACTGTGTTGTCTAATATTGCAGTAGCAGTGCTGTTCGCAAAGCTTGGTGGCTAGGAAGATTAACAATGAGGGTTGAACATGGCAATATACCATCAACCGTGAGAGCTCACGATATTGCTTGGCCACAGAAGCGAAAACATATTCTACAATTCCGAAATGGCTCTTCTGAGGTCAGAAGTCTCTGAACTTAAAGATGAGACAAATTAAAGATCGCCTCATATCAATGCAGGGAGATCGGGCGCTTCTTGAAATGGTTGGGTCGCCTGCATCGAAGCTCATCAAAGCATACGTATTTAGGGTATCAGAAATTACAGTTCTGCAAGAGAAGCGAGCGAAATAGCATCACGTTCGCAGATAATACTGGATTGGATGGAACATGGATTTGAGTTGCTGCGGAGTCTTCCTTTGTAGTACTTCATGTGCAAGTCTTAACTTGTACGCTGGCTGGCGTAGGAACTTCGCCACAAGGGATCCTGATTTCCTCGAAATAACCAAAGAAGAACGAACATTATACAAGGACAACACAATAAAGTTCTTTCTCTTGGATCGAATGACATTATTGACAACCCACTAGAAGTGTTCGTAACTTAAGCTGACCGGAATTAGTTTTCTAGATGAGCAGACGCAGCCAGTCTAGCGAGCTAGATAAAATCGGTTCATCTTTGCAGGATATAAAACATTACAAACTTTAGCCTGGTAGCCGTGCATTTATTTTGCTAATTTGGCATTTCAGTACTGAAAGATTCAGCGAGTATTGTGATCTCTGTATTCACCTCTGATTTTTGATAGTAGGCAATCTCAACCGTGTGTCTTTTGCTCCCCGATAACAATTTCCGGAGCCTATTACATGGAGCAGAAATTAAAATACCTACCCATGCAATTAATCTCTTTGATATGAGTTTCCTGGCGCGCTTCTGTGCCAAGATTTTCAGGTGAGAGCTTTTTGATGTTTCTATGATTTTACATGGAAGGATACCCTCAAAGCTTCAGCACCGTCAGAAACTCTTTGAAATGCTTAAAAAAAAACTGTTTTATGATTCTATGAATCACATAACAAGATACATCTATTGTTTGTGCCATTGATTTTTGGTAGATGTTTGCTGCTGGGCTCTGCTTGCTTATTATTTGCTTGCATTTGCTACTTTGAGCAAATAAAGGATCAAATCTAACTTCCAATGCTCCCTACTCTATTACATATCAATCTTTTTGTGGAAATACCTTTCATGGGGGGTCTTTACACATGGATGTCACACAATATATTCACCCCTCACAAAGGAAGATGGCTTACTAGTGAGAAGTCCTCATTACCTGAGTATCTCTTAAATATTGATCAACTTGCTCAAGTAGTGATCATTGATCTTACCACCGATTGATTCATTTCTCAATAGGGGATGCACACATTCGGCTTTTTGATCGATAGACCAGCCATTATAGCATAACATGTTTGCCCAAGCAGTGGATCAAGCGACCAGTGTTACGGAGGAATCAAAGAAAGCAGCTATAGAGCAGCTTAATAAGGAAGGGAACGTTTTATTTGGATGTAAAAAGCTCTCGGAGGGTATGTTGCAAGTTTCCATTTTTTACACTGTTTTTTGACAAAAATAAAGACGTCTCTTGCGTCTAAGAGATAAAACGGCTCAAACTATATGTGCTAACAATATACTTCTTGCACATAGCTCTTGATAAGTATATGGAAGCTGTCGAGATTGACCCGGTCTCACCTCTTACTTTCCAAACCATTACGTAACACGACAGTGGTTCAATTTGAGTGCGGCAGATACACTGAATGCATAAAAGGAGTTGAAGACATACTAGAGCTGATGGATGTGCAACAACTGGACGACAAAATTGTCATTTCAAACCTTCAACGGCAGCTGAAAAGAGCCTATGATCATGTTCCTACATCTTCTCTGCAAGAGCAACTACAAAGACGATTGAAAATCTTTGCATGTTTTCCACGAGATCGTGCATCTATGTAAGCTTTCTGCATTCACATGATTGGAGGTGGCTAATATTGATGACTAGGTTCACATCGCCTGAGTGTTTTAGAATTGGAAACGATGTCGCCGAACCCCTTTCCGTTGAAGTTCCGAAAGATTCTCTAAAGAAAGGCGACATAATTTCGTTTTTCTTCGCTGGTATTGGGGATGCGCGTCATTTGTATGCAACAATCATCGATCTCCATGAATCTGGGAATAGAACCACTGCCACCCCTCGAAAATATCATTTCGTTGCAAATGATCTCAATATATGCTCTCTGACCCGAAATCTTATTATCTGGACACTTCTTGATGAGTTGTCTGCATTAGACCATGGTTCGGACCAGGGATTGATGGTATTGACAACTATTTTCTCCATTTACAGACCCATTATCATGCCAGGCTACGTCTACAAACTTTTGTGTACAACAATGGAAGCTATTCTTGCTAAATTGGACAAGGTGTGTGTACTCTGGATTTCAAACTCTTACACTACGGCACTATCTAGAGGCAATGCTATGCTATACATCACCTGTCGAAAAGATGACATGTACTCGGGCTTTCTAATTCAATACTTACTATTCGTCAACCTTAGGGAGTTAGTCCTGTCGAGTGGGTGACCCTTCACGGTTACGACATTCCAAGATACATCGATGTTCTAAAACACTGGGCTAGTAATGGCTTTGGGATATTTACTACCGAAAAGGTTATCCAAGGCACACGCGACAAACTGAGCCAACAATCACTACTTCATGACTCCCGAGACATTAGCAAAGTTTGCACTGAGGAGAAGGAGTTTTATGCCAACTATGCTCTTGTTTATCCTCCGGAGAAGATAATTCTTTCACAGGAACCACGGTTGAAAAAGCTCATCACGAAAGCATTGTAAGAGAAGAGATACTCCAATAAACTCCGTAAATATCTCGCAAAGAACTGGAAATTCAATCCAACTATGATGGACCAAAATTGGTACCGAAATACTCTAAGAAAGTATGGCCATTCCAAAGGTTATAGCTTCGCGATCAATCCATTTTCGGCTATCTGGCATTTCCAAGATACCTGGAAAGGACCCGAGCCTTCCTCCTTGTTTGATCATGTAGCACCGATGTTTAAGCGCGCAGCCAATGCAATCAAGGAAATGAAGGAATATTCTGTGTAGAGGCTCTCTGTGGGGATGTCACTGAAATTGCCGAATGGTTTCATTTTGACTGCTCACCGACCAGAGTCTCTCGCTCTCCCGAGTTTCCCAAAAGATTCGACTGTATTCATATGAGTAACATACCGTGAGTAACCTTTTTAATTCATAAGTCTCGTGTATAGGTGATTTTGTTCAATGCTTCTGTAAAAAGCTGGGTACACAGTGCTAACAATGTCCTTCAGGGATTACATCGGCGGTCATTTATCGACATTTCTTTACGTGGTCCCCCTCTTAAAGATTGGTAGGAGCAGTTATCTCAAATCAAACTGTCTACGTAACCCGGGATCCTGGGATTGCCTGGAGGCATTTCTAGCAGATTATCAGTGTATCACTGACAAAGAAATGCTGCGAGAATTAAGAGGCGTTGTTGCAGCTCTTGAGCCAGGTAAAGATGAATTGTTGCCGTTGATTAAATACAACTCATACTCGCGGGAGGCACTCGATTTCACAGGATGCCTGGTCCGCATTGTTACCTCAGGCTGAGTTTCAAAAGTGGTTCTACACACTATTTTTCAGGATTGCTTTGCCTCACAATGTAAACATCTCCAAGACCAACGCAATCATTCTCTCTCCTCTTAATCTCACAGTATTGTTTAAACTGATCGATCAGCTTCATAATCATGGGTACCCCTCGCACTGGATGTCTGAAATTATTTACAATATCATTGAGAACAAGGTCGCCTCTACTTGTCGTCCTCCTCGTGCCACTCCCACTACGGTTTCTGCATTGATGAGACAATACAAGCTCAAAAAGCTCTGTACAAGTCCTTTCGCTGATGAAATTGCAACTCTCACTAGGATCTTCTCGCCATCTTACCGTTCATTCCCCAGTCCCAGAAAATTCCTTCCCAGGAAGATATCCACAAGTACACTTTTCCACTCGATAAATTGTACACCATTCAAGAAATGCCGAACAATCTTACACTGTTATTTTGGAGTGATAAGCTGTTCAGAGAAGTGGGTCAGGCGGCTGCTGCGCGATGTATCAGAACATCCGCCCACTCCTTGATCCTACTTGGGGAGATGAAATGGACGCTCAATTTAAAGGAATTTAATTCAAAACTTTTAGGGAGAAAGGCATGGTTCTATGGAGTACTATTGAGTGGAATCTAGAAACATCAGAAGCTAGTGCTTGGATGCCTAGCACTCTAATTGATAGAATGATCAGGGAGAGAGATTGGGGTTGTGGGCTATTCAGGACAGATACGTGGGAGAGGTGTTGGGATAAGTTGTCACTAGTGAGTGATGTGAGAAAGGGTGAAAAATGGGAAGATGACATTACTTCAGTTGAGAATATCAAGCTTGCGCAGTCGATCAAGAAGGTTGTGAATCTGGAAAAATGAAATTATGCGCGACGGTGGCATCACGGAAGTGGAGCTCTGCTTTAGTATTTGAAACTAGCTCTAAGCCCTCGATCACCGAAACGCATAAAAGTAAGAGTGGAATTCATCTTTCTTGATGGAATCTATTATTGGTGCGGATTGACTGTCTTATATGACCCAATGCGTACTCCGAGAAAACAAAGACTTCTATCTTTTTAGCGTACGATACAATCTATGGGTAACGAGGAATATCTATACGCTCATTAATGCCGCTTCTCTATGATCGTCATCAATTCTGAAGTTTGCATTAGAAGCGCTCGAAGAACTAAATTAGGAAACTCACCATCATAGCTAGACTGATCTCTCTGACTGAGATCTTTTGTCATTATCATAGAGACCTCCTACCGGCTTCTCATTGAAACTATTCTCTGGAAAGTGACTTTCATCCACCCATGGGGTAGAAAATCGGTTCCTCTTGAAATATTTGTATGGGTACGCAATTGGAGGATCAAACCTATTGTATATTCCGCTCACAGCTTTAGTAGGCTCTTCAGCCAACCTTATCTCACCACCGTCGAAGTTTTCACCCATTTCCCATACTCCAGATCCAACCTGAAGAAGGCGAAGCTTAGGCAGATCATTTTGCATCTTCTGAAAATAGTCGGACCATTTTGTTTTGTAATGCCAGATAGTGGGAGCGCCTGAAATGAGCGTCAGTATTTATAATCTCAGTTCTTGCTCAGATATTATCACCTCCATTATCCATGGGAGTCATAGCATAGTTCTCATCATCGAGATCCCCCAAGTGTCTAGTCCCTGCGAGTATTGGACAATCGTCGAATTTCAGAACTTCCAACGTTTTTCCATGAGATAAAATCCAATCCAATTGCCAATCGTGCGAAAAAGTGTAGTTGCCCAATTCCAACTTCTTCAATTTTGGAAAATGCACACTTCTCCAATCACACTTGGGAAAATAACCCCACCAATGAATACAGTGAATAGTGAGCGAGGTGAGATTCTTAGCGCAGGGCACCAGCCATGTAGAAGGAAGCTCGGTAAAGAAATCATGCATAGGCGGAAGAGACCATGAAGATTCAGGGGTTGCCTTTTCATACTCGACAACGATTCTCATACGCAAGTTCGTGATTCTTTTCAAAACCGCAAGGAAGTCTTTTGATCCGGTCAAGCTCGCATCATTGACATTTTGTAGATTCTTGAGGGAAAGTGTGGTAAGTGAGGGTGTAGGATACCTTGGGTCATTCAAGGAACGAAACAATTCTTTGAGAACAGCAATACGATATTCATGGCTGTCTTCTGCTGGGGTAAGATAGAATCCTCTTTCATCCTCCTCGCCCAAATATGTACAAAATTCTGCAAATTCGACTGCGACGGTGGTGAGGTTAGGGAACCTGTTACATTTTTCAATGATTCTTTTCATCGAGATATTGAAATGCTGTGGGGGGTGTTTCTCCGCGTAGGAATCGAGATACGAATTTGCATAGGGTTCAAGACTGGTGGTGTAACGGACAGAACGAACTGCTTGCTTGAGATGTGGTACACAGATGATCTTCTCCAAATTGGTGCGCGGAATGGCTGAGTCTATCTCTGCAACCTTTTCAGACTCCTCGTCTTCATTATTGTCATCGTATCCTTCATTTAGATTCTGTAGATTCACACTATAGTGCGAGAACAGCTTTTCGGTGACTAGAACTGAGAAGGATCTCGAAACAAGACGGAGGTTTTTGAGATCAGAGGTGCTCGTTACCCCTTTAATGATCAAGCGAAAGATTTCTGCTGGAAACTTGTCCATTTTCAATTGATGCTAAGGGATGATTTCTGGAGCTTTACTTTTCAAATCTTAAATCAATGGTAGTACGGGTAGAGGGTAGCGACGGCTAGTACATATAGCTCGCTCCAGACGCCGCATTAGGTTTCGGATAATAATCTGAATCCTGTTTCTGGAAAGAGATAATTAGAAATCAATTACTGGACACCAACTAGGCAGCATACTCAATGCTAAGAAAATTCGGACTCGCAAATGAATCAAGTATCTTAGTTTCTCAGCAAGATATATTTTCCACGTCGTTGCTTACTGACAAACTTCCAGTCCGGTTTTGATACTCTTTGCACAATCTTTTAAAACCGGTGGCTTGAATTGCCTTTCAAATAAATCCGTTTCGTGAATTGCAACTTGGGGGAAGTTGACGTCGGTGATTGATTGAAAGTTGAGACCAAGCCTTTCCCTCTCCACCATGTGTTGTTGAATGCTTATCTCACGTGATCAAACTCTGATCGACCCGATTTAAACATGAGCTCAAGAGAACACGTCCTGAGACTCGAAGTGAAGATTAACTCCGGCTTTGGAAAGAAAGGCTGCAACATATCCTCAACCGGTTGCATTTCCTTCGAGCTCTAGCCGTGTCGACACTATCGTTTTTTGGTTTCCAGTGCTTTCCATCCCCCTTCGGCTCACATTCATTGATCGTAGCACGCACGAATTCTGTGAATGCCGACCCTTGATTACCGTGAATTGTGAAAGAAATACAGCAAGAATTCTGGTGCCAGCACTCTTTCATTCTAAGGTCCAATTTGCCTTGACGTGCTCTCGTCACAAGGTAGAAGAATTCTCTGGTGATCCAAAAATCCTATAGTTCGAGAACCTGCAGCCTGCAGGTCTCGAATTTTGCAATTGTGATTCGAGAAATTTCAATTCTGGGTATCTGAGCTTCCAAAGCTTCGACAAAGTATGCATTCTTGTCCGGAGCCATAATCATCTTTCCGAAAATTGCATTTAAGAGGCAGTCAATGTCCTACGGAGATCTCCCTCACCCCACGAATCGAGTATTTTTAAGACTTCGTGTCAATCAATAACTGGCGAAGCACAAGGCAACCATTCACTTTAACATTTAAGTCGTCGCATCTCCAAATTGCCGTAAACCATTCTCGCTTGTTACTACTACGAGAATAAACCATAATCTCGTGCCCAAAATCTCTTTCCAAGCTAGTCATTACTAGCTCGATCCAAAAATAGCGTTCTAAACTGCATTGAGAGGAATTTAGGTCTGAACTTAGCTCTTCACCCACAAACTGACCAGGAACATATGCTGAGATGGACAGTACAAGTACCAGAATACTCAAGGACAGATTTTAGTGGATCAGTGGGAAGCCACGATGTTTTATGGACAAAATTTCAAGTGGCTATCCTTGAATAAAAGTGGTGAAAGTGTTTTCATGACCTCCAGATCAAAGAAACTGAATTATGTATGATTCCGATCAAGTGCCTCGAAATAAATGGTTTTTATAACAGAACAGTCTGATAATAATAGTATGCTATCTACCCTATGACTTTGAGGCAGAGACCATGGCACCGTCTTCAATCTCATCTATCCTCCTAGTACCTCTGGGGCACGAAATTTAAGTTCATAACTACCATACCCAAAGCCTAAATTGCGTAGAAAAACTTCGAGTAGAAGCGCGGGGCTCTGAAGATCTGGTCCATCAATGATCACCAAGACTGAAGAAGCAAAGTTTGGTATGTTAGAATGATGCAATTAGTACGTGTCATGTTAAGGTTATCAGGTTTCTATTCGATCAAACGAAAACCTAGCCGTCTTTTGACTTCTCCGTCTTTAAAGATTTACATTTAAGTGCTTGTGCCTACCAACTCGTCCCGTGAATTTGATGATTGTGTGATTATCAAATCATGATAAAGTGAACTCCTGGTTGGTGTATTCAATTTTTCGCGGCTCGGACGATCACGAAGTCTAGGTGCTCATGCAGATGCACAGACGAATGCACGCGAATTTTGGCGACATGTCGCTGTCACGCTCGGCTAATAGTGAAACGGCAATAACCTCATATAAGTCGGTTACCCTACTTTCGGGCCACCCCTGTTTTGGGCCACTTTTCAACCACTTTTCACACCAAAAATGGAATTTCTAACTTTCTTATTTATAAATATATTGTTTTATATAAAAAATAATATAATAATATATCTTTTGATATAAACATGGTTTATCATCGGGTCGCCAATATCACCGGATCGCCACTTTTTTCACTATTCAATCACTTCAATTTTGTATTATTCAATAACTACTTAATCAATTAATTAAAACTATTAAGGATCTAATAATCTAAGATTTATTATATTATTTTGATAAATTCTTGAATTATAATTAGTTTTTTATATATATTATAATATCACTAAAAGATGCTTCCTTATTAGAATTTCTTTTCTTTTTATGCTTGTTGTGTTGAATCTTATCGTAGGTCATGAGCTAGTATATGAGTATATAGTATATAAGAGGGAATAGACTAATATTAGTCTATTATGGGAAGCTGGCTCGTATTAACAACTAAATAGCTATGAAACACGTGATTTTCATGAAACAGTATATGATATTCTTATTTTCTTTTTCTATATTCGAGGGGAAAAGGCCTTATTTTATGCTTTTTCCTACTAATCTAGCTTTCCACTTTCGTTTATTTCTCGTAGATCTCTTCCTAATCCGGCCATTCCATCAAATAAAGCTTTTCTTTCTTATTCCTTATTCGATTTCGCTAGTACTATGTCGATCTTACTACGAATAGATTGAAAGAACTAATAAAGAGCTAATAAAGAATTGATTTTCAGGCCGTTCTAGGCTAAGAGCTCTCTTAAGCGACGATCATGTGATCTTGTGATTCGCTCTTAGTATACTATATGAATATAGAACTATATATATATATAAAAAGATATATTATTATATTATTTTTTATATAAAAACAATATAAATCAATATTTATTTATTTATTTATTTATAGTGATTAACATCTAATATCTAACCTCCCAAGAGGTATTCTAGATATACTAAGGAGCGGGCCTACAGGCTGCTTGTGTTTCAGCTGCTTATAGTAATATAATATTAGCTAATCAGAAACTTGTTACCTCTAGTGTTTCCCCGTTCAATACCGCTTATAGCGATTCTGCAGCTGTTTCTGTCTAAGAGTTTATAGTCCTATTCTAGAGAGCCTTGTTTTGTATGTCATCCGAATATTGGCGGATGATTTAAATCGATTGTTATCGATCAGAAAAGCACTTGAAGCGCTTATAATTAATCGATACAGGTTTTAGATTAATTGGGGTGGAGAGCTTGTTCTCGAAATATTAAAATAGATTGGTATTTGTGTAATTACATATAATTTAGGCATATCCTAATATAGAATCTGGAATCTAATGAGAAGATCAATAAAGCTATATTGTAATTACAGGATGCAGTTGATATATACTATCGTATTCTATTCGGATTGTAATCGGTTTGATGCAAGTAGTCAGTTATTGTGTATTTGATTATTAATTGGATATTGAAAGAAATATAATAGGCTTTTCTCGATTCTGTATATATAAATATTTATATTATTTTTGTGGTTGAATTTGGTATAATAAACTATAAAGTTACCGTATCGATTCATATTGCTATAAGTCTGTATAGTATTCTACAGGAACGCTTGAGACTCCCCGGCTCCGAGATGTTATATATCAGCTTTTTATATATTATATATTTCGAAATCAGATCTCTTTTTGTATTCTATTACTTACTTTTTGAATACCGATATTTGGCATGTAGAACAAAATGGGAATTGCTAACAGTAGGGAGGCATAATAGGCCAGGATTAAATGGTTTAGTTGTACCCTAATCAGTAAGGCAATCAGCTGCCTCGTTACTCTTTATCTTGATATACCCAGGGGACCACTTGACTGCGATATTGTAGTGTCGCATTGCTTAATGGTATTTATAATAGACTATTGGAAAGAATCAGCAGTGCTCTCGTGTATTCCCTAGATTATTGCAGGTGCTATAATACATAGCCATACTTCTTCGGGCCTTGATAAAAGTATTTGATAGTGTTCAGGAGGCGCTCCATTCCCCGTTATACGCTGATCGCCTCGGCATCAAGACATGCAACTATTTCGCATATACAATCATAAACTGTTATCAACCTATTGCTTACCGCAGTAGATTGTAAAACCATAGCCTATACAATGACCGCGTTCATTATATTATCGAATCCATCTAAAAACACAAAGTAATCTTCTTAGAGAATTAGATTTCACCAATCTTTAAACACTTCCACAGCATCCTCTTTGCTTATATTATTAGTTGGATTAGTATGGCATTTAGAGAAAAAGTATGGTTGTAGAGTTAGAATGCTCGATTACAGAGATTGCTTATTCCATTCTCTATATCTAGTAATAGAATTTTTCAGTATATTTATATCTTATCCTCTTTTCCTAATACACAGCTTTAATTGATTTATAAGTAAATATCATATATCCATTATCTAAAGCCGAAACATAAACCTCAACCTAACTTACTCTCATATAACAATTCTAGCTAGAAGACTAGCTTCTATAAGAAATACCATTATCAGGATTGTTTATAAATAGATAAAGTTCCCCATATATCACGGGGCAGGCGGGGCGGGCTAGGGTTCTAATAACTTTGCTCTAATCTGGTAAGGTTATACCTGATTCGAGTAATAAATTCAGATTGAGGATTAAGATGTAGCTCAAAAGCTATAAATATAGAATCTTCTAAATTAAAGATATACAGGATTTTGCTAAACAAGCTAGTTCGATCAGACTTTAGCTCATTTACACTCCAATGCGAATACTCAATTCGATTCTCTTTGAGGGGATTAATATATTATGTAATCTTACATTATAATATTATTCTTTTCTAAAAGCCGAGCTCTATTGAAACGAAGGTATTATAATTTGATTGTTTAGAGATAAACAATATTCGATCAAATGGGTTCTAGTTATCAGAA